GCGTGAATCTTGTGCTTAATGTGCGTGAATTTTGTTCTTAATATGCGTTAGTGTGTACTTAATTAATGTGAGTTTTTGTTAAAACTTAAGGTGCGTGTGTTTTTGTGCTTAATGTGCGTGAGTTTTGTACTTAAGGTGCGTGAGGGTTGTGCTTAAGATTCGTGAGTTTTGTGCTTAAGGTTCGTGAGTTTGTGTTCTGAATGTATTTTGTCTGTTTGTTTAATCTGTTGTGTACTTAAAGTGCGTCAGTGTAATGCTTAATGTGAGTCCACCCGCACAACCGCACGGGAAGCACCACCCGCACCTGATCCCTTCCCTATATATAAATAAATATATATATATATATATATATATATATATATATATATATATATATATATATATATATATATATATATATATATATATATTTATTTATTTATTTATTTATTTATTTATATTTATATATATAACCAAGTTCCAGTTCGACTAGGTCTGATATTAACATGCGATTAGTGTGGTCCACCATTAGGTATGCAAACACGCACCATTGTGGTAGGAAATACACAACAACAACAACATGCGCCAATGCACCATTACGTACGCATTACCACAAAACGCACCATTAGGTATGCATAAACATACCATACAGTGTTTGGAAACGCACTATTAGGTGTAGAGAGATATGGTGCATTTTTTGGGTGTGTGGTGCATTTTGTGGTGCATTGGTTGCATTTCACTTTTGTGCCCATTCTAACACGATTGGTACGTTTTTACATACTTAATGGTGCGGCCGCACCGACCGCACGATAAAGCATGGTTGCATTCGAGTTGATATATATATATATACTAGCATTTTGTACGCGCGATGCGCGAAAACTTATGCCCAATATTAAAATATTGTTAAGTAACAAAATTTAAAAAATTAGTTAAAATTATATTTCACATTTCCTTAAAGTTATGATACTTTTGAATTATCATATATTTGAATATAGTGATTATATATATATATATATATATATATATATATATTATATAAATTATATAATAATAATTTACAAATAATACTAAGCTAACATCCACATATATGATATATTGATATGTATACACAACTAATATATATATACATATTATTTATAATTAAAATTTAATATTCATTTAAATATTTAATTAAAATATAATTTATAATTAAATTTATTGTTATATGATAATTTTAATAAAATGATAACTAAAAATAAGAAAAAGATATGATAGATGTAGGTGTATGGTAAGATTGGTGGACATATTAAATACTAACGGTGTTATAACGGTGTAAGGGTAATTTTGTCCAATACAAACCAAATGTACAACAATTAAAGCAAGATGTATATATTTATTAGCATATAAAAAAGGGACAAAAATCAAGGACATAACTTGTATTGACACTTATTATGTTTTTAGATATATATATATATATATATATATATATATATATATATATATATATATATATATATATATATATATATATATATATATATATATATATATATATATATATATATATAATTAAGTTCTGGTGCGGTTAGGGTGTCCAGGTGCGGTTGTGCGATTTAATCTGGGTCATTCATCTCGCTTAAATCAACGTTCAGGATTACCAAAATTCTTTTAAAAAAAATGCGGTGGCAATTTTGTAATTTTTGCATCTATGTCAAAATTAAGGTTAGCGGTTCTGTGATTAATGTGCGTGAGTTTTGTATATAAGATGCGTGAGTCTTGTGCGTAAGGTGCGTGAGTTTTGTGCTTAATGTGCGTGGGGTTGTGCTTAATGTGAGTAGTTGTTAAAACTTAAAGTGTGGGCTTTTGAGCTTGAGGTGCGTGAGATTTGTTCTTAATGTGAGTGGAGTTTGTGCTTAATGTGCGTAGGGTTTGTACTTAATGTGTGTGAGGTTAGTGATTAATGTCGTAGTTGTTGAAACTTAAGGTCTGTGAGTTAATACTTAGAGTGCGTGAGTTTTGTGCTTAATGTGCGTGAGGTTGTGCTTAATGTGCCTGGGTTTTGTACTTAATGTGCGTGAGGTTGTGCTTAATGTGCGTGGGTTTTGTACTTAATGTGCGTGAGTTTGTGCTTAATGTCAGTAGTTGTTGAAACTTAAGGTCTGTGAGTTAATACTTAAAGTGCGTGGGTTTTGTGCTTAATGTGCGTGAGGTTGTGCTTAATGTGTGTGGGTTTTGTACTTAATGTGCGTGAGTTTGTGCTTAATGTCAGTAGTTGTTGAAACTTAAGGTCTGTGAGTTAATACTTAAAGTGCGTGGGTTTTGTGCTTAATGTGCGTGGGGTTGTGCTTAATGTTAGTAGTTGTTGAAACTTAAGGTCTGTGAGTTAATACTTAAAGTGCGTGGGTTTTGTGCTTAATGTGCGTGGGGTTGTGCTTAATGTGCGTGGGTTTTGTACTTAATGTGCGTGAGTTTGTGCTTAAGTTCTAACACTTAAGATGCGTCATTTTTAGCTTATGCTTCTTACTTCCAGACACGCGTTTTTTTTTTTTTTTTTAAATTTTCATTGATTTGAGCCGTTGATCTAGATTTGATCAATGGCTCAGATCTAACCGCACAACCGCATGGGAAGCTATATCCGCACCTGAACCCTTCCCTATATATATATATATATATATATATATATATATATATATATATATATATATATATATATATATATATATATATATATATATATATATATATATATATAAGTGTAGCTGTGGGGCGGGGATACTTCCCCCGCACCCGGCCCCATTCTTATACCTGCGCGGGTATACGAAATCCCCTATCCCCGCAGTTATTACACAAATTGTACTGATATTTTAAAATTTGTAGGGACAAAAATTCGAAAAACTTATAAAGTTTGGGTAGAATTGTCATTCCTATACTTAGTGTCATCCCCTAATTTCACCGTGCAATGTTGGAACGGTATAACCGAATTATTGCACCATAAATATAACATCAACATTCATATATTACTAATCTATCTTCTTACATTTTTAATTTGGTAGTTAGATTATGTTTACTCGTACATCTTGTTAGAAGAATTAGTTAAATGGCATTTTAAGTGGTATTTTGGTGCAATATGTGTTCTTATTTATTTATTTATTATTATTTTTTTTTTAATCAAGTGGAGGGGATCCCCTGAAAGACAAAGCACTACTGACATCCACGTTGCCTAGTCACACCCATGGAGTCGTCAAATGAGCATCTAAAGAACCATACGGTCTTCGGTTGAGCCATCACACTTAAGCCACGAGGGTCGCCAAGAGCTTTCTTTGCCAGCCAGTCCGCCACAACATTTTGTTTCCTATGGACATGCTCGATACGACATTTTGTTCTCTATAGACATGCTCGATACGCACTTACCAATCCTTGCTAAGCCACCGCTTACACTCACTGATGATGTTCGCCACATTCCCATTAGGAGCATCACCCGCGAATATGTATTCTTATTTGAAGTATTAAAAAAAATAGTGTTCTTATTTAATCATACAGTATTATAATGTATTTAATCCTACAATATTATAGGATGTGTTTGGTTCATGAGTTTTTACACTAGTAATGAGAATCAAAATCATATGTATTGTTTGGTTGACAACTTTTTAAATATAACTATGAGATTTGATTACCCTTCAATTAAGAACCTCATTTCCTAGTTAAAAAAGGATATCATTCCATCTTATATTGGTAATTTGATTTTTAAGTTCGGATTAATTCTTTTAAATTTTTGTTTTGATTTTTTGTTCATATTGGTGCTTTAAATGTTATTATATTAAGATTCATTGTCTTGATTTTTTAATTTTGGATTTTAAAACTATTGTTCCCATAATAGGGTTATACATAATCAAACATCAATATCCGTATCAATTTTAGTTTCTAGAATTGTAAATTTTTAATTTATAAAGTATAAATTTTAACATTATAAATTTCCGCATAATATAAAATTTCTCAAACTTTTTTTGGAAAAAAAAAACAAAATACTTAGATTAAAGGGAGTCTAGCTCCAAAACATAAACAAGAAAAGGATAGGGGAAAAAACAAAATACTTACATTAAAATTTCTCAAACTTTAATTTGCCAAATTTTCAAACTGTGATTGGTAAAAAGACAGCTAGCTTAGCACAAGTGGGTTTCCTGGAAATTATTGAAAGTTTCGTTAGTCAAAAATATGTATAGTACTTCTGCACCCAATAATGCATTGTTTGTATTGCCTGCCTTTATTATATATATATATATATATACATATATTCCAGCTATGGCAACTAAAGTATAGAAAGGCAAAAGTTGTAAGTTTAGTTGAATCAAAATGGGTGATCCTTTAAGCATATTAGTGCCGTTGGGCATTGACTCAAAGTGTATAGAGTATGTTAGAAGAATGGTGGAGAAAAACATCTCGCCTATGCCAATTATTGGGCTTTACGTAGCAATCGCTTCAGTGTCATGTGGGTATGCAATTATCTATAACTCACTTTTTATGTTTTCAAACTTACCGTGCGTCCCTACTAATTCCTTCTCATTCTTCAAGTTAATCAAGATTTTCGATTTGAATGCAACTTGGCTGACACTATTAGCTGTGGCTACCAAGCTCACTGGAGACCTCACATCTCCCATGTTGTCTTACAATGATAACTTGTCAAAAATCAGTAGCACACTTTTCTTAACTGTGGCCATGGGTCAATTTTTCACCACACTGGGCTCTATGAATGGCAAAGATATGCGAAGCAATGTCATGGCTTTGAGCATATTGGTATTCACCATCCTTGTAGATTTATGCATCCAACTCAGAACTGGTGTACTTGATTTATCATTATTTCCAGAAATCATCTTCGCTCTTGTCTTGCTATTCTGCATGTTCATAGCAATTGTGTGTTCAGCTCTAGCACTTCCAGCAATTAAGAAACACGCAGAATGAAAGCATCATATGCTAGTGAAACAGCTGGGCAACATTCACTTATTAGAGTTGAAGAGCTGAGATTGAGCATTACAAAGTATTGGGTGATGGCAGTATCTGGTAGCCCGGAATTACTGATCACAAGGTTGCCCACTTTCGTTTTTACGAATATCATCACCCTATTTTCTGCACTTATTTTCATTCTAGGATATATTAGAAGTTATACTACGGAAGCATACTCGATTACTTATTGTCCTTCTATGCAATCTGATTATAAGTGGTCCGTCTCATTGATTATACATTCTCAGTTTATTGCGGTGCTGCCCGTCTTCTTTGCTGCAATCTTATTGACTACTGTCATGAGTTATAAGTATGAGGACAATGGGATCAAAATTTCAAGAAAAGAATTCACAGTTGAGCCCTATTGGACTGAAAATCTAGTAGAATGGAGGCAGAGTCCAATATCTATGAGAATTCTAAGATATATACTGCCCACAAAACTTTTCCACAATATCAAAAGTTTGATCTCCACTCTCTGCATACTACTTCAGACTTGGGTTGTCATATTTATTAAGTTCTGTTGTGTTGTTTCTTTCTACGTCTGGCTTCCTTTACTATTTTTAGTTAATCTTTTACGCAAACTATTGTCACCTGCGCATCAAGTATCAAATGACCAAATGAGAGAAGAGATAGCAGACCTTAGCCACTTTGTAATACTTCTTGAAGGAGAAAAACAATTGCCAAAACCATTGTTGAGGAAAATCATTTGTGTGGTGAATGGTCATATAAAGTGGGGAAAGAATCAACCACCACATAGTCTACTCAATCTTCTCAAACAAAGTTTCTTTTATAAAGGTGCAATACAATTTGACAGCAGCCAAGTTCCGAGTCTATTATCAGAAGAACCTCCTAACTGTTGGACCCTTCCAGTGATGACACTCGCAACCATTGCCGTTGCACTTCCAAACATTGCAAATCAACATGTTGATGAGCTTGTAAGATGTGTTGATGAAGGCCTCCAATATGCAAGCTATATAGATGTGCTGGATGAGAAGCATGTGTTGAAATGCATTAAAAATGCTGCAAGTGTGGTGTGGGTGGGAGTTAAACTTCATAAGAAGTGGTTGGATAGGGATCTTGGGGATACAATTAGGGAAATTTGTTCTACCCGGGAGATTATTCAAGGTCTTGCTGATGAAGCTGAAAGAATTGTCAAAGAGTTCAGTTCTACGGGAAGCCAATACCTTGTGGAAAATCCTCTTTATTGGCCTGCAAATGTTTTAGCTGCTAATTCAATGTACAGAATCAGTAGGACAATTCTTTTATACTATGGGAATGGTGAGTACCAAGCTGAAGAGTTGTTTAGGAAATTAATTTGCATGATTGCAAACATATTGGCAGCTTGTCTTATTAATTTGCCGCACCTGATAGCTTCCAAGTGTATAAACAATGTCCTTGAGGAAAGGTTTAGAAGTGTTGGTAATGCAGCTATTCTTTTTGGAGAAACCGAAGATATTCTCAAGTTATTTGAAGAGCGGCAACTTTTAGGCATTGGTCCAAGTCAGCCATTTTGCATTGATGAATGGCTTAGATGGATGGAGTGTGAGACACAAGATCCAACAGTTTCAACCTCTGCAACTCACAATGACGCATCCTCTACTGTTGAGTCCAATGATGAGCTTGTGATTGTTCCAATGTAATTTATGTTGATGCATGTGTGCTTCTAATTATATTTGTAGTTGTTGTTTTATGTTAATTTAGTAGTGTTATGAAATATATATGTTGCAATCTTGCTACCTTGTCTGTTATTTACAACTTATTACAAAATACAATTGGCAGAAGTGTCAAATAGGCACATCTACTATTGCGAAGTGCTCAATTCCTACCACGAACTAAATTAAATGTCAAATAGGTCCATCTATCAGTTAAATTTGTTCGATTAGCTTTTTTTGCAGGTTGCCTATATATATATATATATATATATATATATATATATATATATATATATATATAATAAATAGAATTTCAGCCTATTTCACAGATAACCACAGGAAAACCCCTCAGGTTGTAGAACTCGTGGAGGACAACAATGTACAGATGACGAACAAATATCGCGAGAAAAAAGATGTTTCCGACTATGGATCTATAGTCTTGGCATCTCCTCTTATGTCAATAACTTATTTGAGGATGTCAGAAATGGGTGAGCAGTAGTGAGTTGTATGCGCAAGTTTTGAGACACTAAACATAAATATTTTCTACATGTTTCTGTTACATATAATGATTTTATCAGATGTTGTAGTGTATCTTGACTATAATCAACCTTCAGAATGGAGAGCTTTAAGGTCAAATCTTAGGAAATGCTGTTAGCAATATGCGCTCGGCATGATGTCGCATGCTCGATAGAGCTCTTCAACTTCATCTACCAGGTCAAGCCTTTGGCGGCGAAGTACGGGGGTGGCTTCTTGATGATTCGGTCCCGAACTGACCTATGTACGATTGACAACCTGCCCGGGAACAACCGCGGATGGAAGAACTGCATCTTTTCGGTCAAATATGACTCCTGGATTCTCCCGGTCGACCGGACGTGGGGAACGCACTATACAAAGCAAGTGCAACCGGTCGAGACCCAAGCCCTCCGTGATGCAACCTTTCGGATCTCCAGTGAGATCCATGAATACAAGATATTCCGGTCGAGGGAAAGCTATGACGCCGCCCGACTGCCGTCGCCTCGATACGACCAAGAAGAGAAGTACAAACCCCAACCAATGGGTGTATCAGTAGCAGTAGCGGCTCCTCGGGCTAAACCGACCAAAAAAGGTCTAACACTAACCTAACCTTCCCGACCAGAATTCTTCCTGATTAAAATTTTGACTTATTATTTTAACCGCATGATTTTGTTTGCAGGAATGGGCCCTCCACGCAACTTCCAAACGGGTAGCGCACCCCGAGCCCCCCAAGCCAAGATAACGCTCGGGAAGAAGAAGGCTGATGCCGGATCGACCGGTGATAAAGAGACCGAGGTCGGCACAATCCCGAGCGCGCGATCACTGGGCACTTCAACAATAACTACGGCTGAAGGGGCCGTGGTCGTTGAAACGTCTGATGCGCTGGCTTCACAAACGGCCGGCCGGAAGGGCAAGGAGAAGCTGACCGTGAAAGACACGGAGGAGGAAGGCGCACTCAAGCGTCGGAGAAAGTAGAACAACCCCCCAAGCGGGGTTGTCATAGGCGATGATTCCATCCTCGCTCGTATAGGCAGCCTCCGGCCAATCAAGGAGGACATTAGCAAACTGATGCCTTCGCAAGTGGCCGAACGAAGCGGTCAGGAACTGGTCGAGGTAGGATTCTGTTACTCTGTTATTTTGCGTCAACTGTAATTGGTCGAGCTAACGCGTTTTTCTTTTGTAGCTATCCCGATCGATCCAACACCTCAAGCGCCAAGCGATGTTGGCCAATGAAGCCGATGCTCTGAGGAAGATCGCCGAGCGGCATGGAAAAGACAATATCGACCTCCGGGATAAGCTGAAATCAACCGAGGGCGCTCTGGCTATTACTGAGAAAGCCGCTAGAGAATCATTAGCAGAGGCGAACGAGCTCAAGTCCCGACTGGGCAACCTTGAAGGCCTGGCCAGATTCCTCTGCCGAGACGAGGCCTCAGCTGAAAAGTTCTTCAAGAAGCTGATGAAGAACAAGCTCGGGGAGGACATGATTTGGATGTTCGAGCACTAGGCCTTCAAGTCCGGCCAACGGACTATGCGAGAGGAAACCCGATCCATTATGGAAGAGGTTTTCGATGGGGATGACTTGAAGTCTGTTCGGTCCACCCTTCCCGACGAGGTTCTCGATCTCGGCCCAGCGCCTTTCACCGACCCGTCTGCCTCCGAGGACACGGCCGAGCCCAGCAGCGCCGTGAAGAATGTAGATAAGGTCGTGTAGTTTCCGACCATGTAATAGTTTATTTTTGTGTTTTTATGAAGTGCACTCAGTCGGGAGCCCGGTCCCGTTTTATATCAGGCACTTTCGTTTATTAAATGCTTCAACTTTTTGTCAACTTCATTTTTTGTTCGATATTTGCGATGTATTTCTTGGTCGTTCTTTGCCGACCTATTGGCCCACCGGCCTACTTCTGACATGTTGGCATTTCTGATCGGGCACTTGCCCGACCGCTTGGCCTATTGGCCCTTTCCCCTAGCCCCCACACTGCCGTGCTCATGAGGCACGAGTGAGTGCGACAGTGGAAAGAAGTAATGCTAATCTGGTATGTATCTTGAAGCTCTGATTTCCCTGATCGATGGCGTGACCCGAGTGTCCGCCGAAGATGAGCGTTATAAGCCGAACGTTGTTAATTGTACGGCTGAAATGTAGGCGACTTTTTAAAGCCAATTTAGGTTTATACCCCTATCGGTCGAGACCGAGGGAGAGGTGTATACAAACGGTCGAGCAATCACTGATCGATGATACATTAGTTGTTCCTGTACGCAGATGGTAAAATATTTACAACTCTTACAAAAGGCGAAAAACGATGGACGTGCCCACTCACAGGTTGAGCCCCCACTCCATCTATAGCTACATAATTACATCAATGTCTAAATAGCACAAGATTTTCCGAGTTCCAAGTGCCCTCGATTACTCTCCCGGTCGTTGTCTCCAACCGGTAAGTGCCTGGGCGAACAACGGCCGTAATGACATAGGGTCCTTCCCAATTTTGAGCTAGTTTGCCGCCTTCTAACGGTTGGCTTGCCTCCCGACGTCGCAATACATAATCTCCAACTTGAAAATAACAGGGATTGACCCGGATGTCCTTTATACTCTTGACCCTCTTTTGGTACTCAGCCATGCGCCAAGCCGCAATCTCTCTTTTTTCCTCAACGCCGTCTAGATCCACGGCCATGGAGTGTTCCTTTTCTTCCGCGTTGTAGGATTGCTCCCTGGCGGTCGGGATCCATGCTTCGATCGGTAACCGTGCTTCAGCCTCATAAACTAGCGCAAACGGTGTTTCCAACGTTGCCTCTCTCGGGGTTGTGCGATATGTCCAAAGCACGTACGGAAGCAATTCAGCCCAGCTACGACCGGCATAGTGCAATTTCATCTTCAAACCTTCTAAGATAGTCCGGTTGGAGTTCTCTACTTGACAGTTGCCCTGCGGGTAAGCCACCAACGATCGAACTGAGGTTGTCCCGATCGTTGCCAAGAAATTTTGAAAATATTGGCTTACAAATTGCTGACCGTTGTCACTGATCAGATGGACGGGCACACCGAAACGGGAAATAACATTCCACCATAGAAACCGGGCGCATTGCTGAGAAGTGATCGTGGCTAATGGCTCGGCCTCGATCCACTTAGAGAAATAATCAATGGCCACAATGACAAAACGTCTCCGACCGGATAATTGCGGAAAGGGTCCCAAGATTTCCACCCCCCAACGAGCAAAGGGAATAGCGGTCATGACCGGCTGATAGAATGTTGCCGGTCGTCCAGGCATCCGGGCATATAACTGGCATGTCTCACACCCTCTGGCAAGCTTTTCGCAATCCAACTGAATAGACGGCCAATAGTAGCCGATCACCATGATGCATCGGGCAAGTGACCGGCCCCCCTGGTGCGACGAACAGATACCCGAATGCAATTCGTTCATCACTAAGTCCGCTTCAAAGGCAGTCAAACATCGCATCAACGGACCTCCATATGACCGTCTATGTAAACGACCATCTTGAACCTGAAACCTTGGTGCTCTTAACTTTGCTTTCCGGGCCCGCTGAGGGTCGTCTGGTAACCGACCGTGTTGCAGATACTCCATCAGATCAGAAATCCAAGTTTCTTCAACCGGTTGAATAATTGCGACCGGCAAGCGATGAATGCTATGTCTCGGAATCATCAAAATCCGAGCGATCTTCGACATGTGTTCAGGAGCATCTTGTGCTAACTTGGATAAGATGTCCGCATCTGCATTATCTAGTCAGGGAACGTGACGGATGGTATACGCCCGAAACAAAGAAAGCTTCTCCATGGCAAGATCTCGGTAGTACTGTAACCGTTCTCCGTTAACTTCATAATCACCGAACACCTGGCCGACGACTAACGCAGAGTCGGTTTGAGCCCGGATATATTCCGCACCCAGATCCTGAGCACATTGCAAGCTATTAACAAATGCTTCATACTCGGCTTCATTGTTGGTCGGGTGAAATTGATACATCAAGGCATAATACACTTTGAAGCCTTCTTGGCTTGTTATCACAATTCCTCCCACGGCTCCCTTCTTGCTACTTGACCCGTCGGTGGCCAACGACCACCATGCAGCCTCAGGATCTTCGACCTGCGGAAGTCGTGTTTCCCGAGCGGTACACTCGACCAAGAAATCCGCCAAAGCTTGGCCCTTGATAGCTGGTCTCGGTCGGTACTCGATTGCATATTGTGTCAACATCAGCGCCCATTTGACTAGGCGACCGGAGGAAGAAGCGGTGCGGAGAACCACCCCGATAGGTTGATCAATTAACACACGGATCGCTCGACCCTGAAAATAAGGGGCCAATTTCTTCGCTGCCGTGTACAGAGCGTAGACTATCATTTCCAGCCGGGAGTACCGGAGCTCGGGACCATGGAGCGCGTGGCTCACATAGTAAACCGGTCGCTGTACCCCCTCCGAATCTGTTCGGCACAAAACCGCACTTACAGCTCGATCTCAAACGGCCAAATAAACGTCTAGCTCTTCCCCGAGCTCGGGCTTTGACAAAACGATCGGCGACATCAGATAATCTTTAAGCTCATCAAAAGCCGCTCGACACTCCTCATCCCACATGAACCCTTTGACTTTACGCAATACCTTAAAGAACGGTAAAGCGCGCTCGACCAACTTTGAAAGAAACCGGCTCAGGGCCGCCAACCTCCCAGTCAATTGTTGCACCTCCCGAACGGTCGTGGGTGGTTGCATGTCAAGAATGGCTTTGACCTTGGCGGGGTTGGGCTCGATTCCTCTCTTCGTCATCATATAACCGAGGAATTTTCCCGTTTGCACAGCAAACGTGCACTTGTTGGGGTTCAAGTGTAGTTGGTACTTCCGCATAATTTGAAAACACTGTCGGAGATCCCGAGTGTGGTCCGCTCGGTCCCGACTCTTCACCAGCATATCATCAATGTAAGCTTCCATCGTTCGGCCTAGCAAGTCTTCAAAGAGCATATTAATCATCCTTTGATAAGTCGCTCCTGCATTTCGGAGGCCGAACGGCATGACCCGATAACAATATAACCCATCAGGTGTGACAAAAGTCATCTCGCTCTCATCTTCGTGGTTCAGCATGATTTGATGATACCCTTTAAATGCATCCATAAAGCTCATCAGCTCGGCCCCGGCCGTCTCATCGACCATCTGATGGATGCTCGGCAATGGGTAAGGATCTAACGGGCACGCCTTGTTCAGGTCGGTGAAATCTATGCACATTCTCCAGGATGGAGGCTTTGGCACGAGTACAATGTTGGCCACCCATTCGGGATAAGTGACCGGGCGGATATGTCCGATGGCCGCCATCTTTTTCACCTCCTCTCAAACAAATTCTCGACGATCGGATGACAGATGCCGAGTCTTCTGAACGACCAGTTTCGCCGCGGGATCTACAACTAACTTGTGACAAATTACCGTCCGATCATTCCTGGGCATGTCCTCAGGCCCCCATGCAAATATATCAGCGAATTCACGGAGGATAGCTAACACTTCCAAATGTAACTCGGGGGTGAGGGCCCGACCGATCTTTATCTTTTTCTCCGGTCGTTCCTTGGACAACGGAACCTCCTCTATCTCCTCAGAGGGCTCGGGTTGTTCCTTCCGATCTCCGACGGCTTCTTTGAAAATGGTATTTACCCAGGAAGAACCGACATCACGTCAATTGACTGCCCGGGTATAGCATTTCCTAGCCGATTGGACATCGCCTCGCACCACTTCGACCCCGGCAGGGGTGGGGAACTTCATGCACAAGTGAAGAATCGATATGATTCCGCCGACCCTCATAATGGCCGGTCGACCTAAGATGACGTTATGGACACAGTGAAGGTTGACCACCACGAATTCTAGCTCCGTTTTCACTGACTTTGGTGGGGTGCCGATCTCAACCAGGAGCACGATCATGCCTTCGGGGCGAATGGTGGCCCCGGTAAATCCTGACAACGGAACACCGACCTGAATCAGTTCCCGCTTGTCCAATTTCAGCTTCTCGAACACGTCCAAATAAAGGACGTTCACACTGCTCCCAGTGTCCACCATTACTCTCTGAACATCGGTTCCCATGATGTCAATCGCGACAACTAGGGCTTCCATTCCATGATCACCGCTTTTTGGCTGGTCTTCTAGAGTGTAGGTGATGGGCTCCATCTTTTGCCTCTTACCGGTTTCCCGGGAGTCGACGATCGCGACCGGGCAACTTTCCCGAGGGCGGGAAGCATCTTCCAAACCTCCGAATATGACGTGGATGGTCGGTTTGGATGCCAGTCGGCCACTAGATGGAGGATCGAGATCTCGCCGATCTTGGTCTCTTCGATCAGAGCGATGATGAGATCGCCTTTGATCTTTTCTCTCACCCACTCTTTTGTTTTCTTCTCTCTTCCCGACACATTTGTCCAACTTTCCCAAGGTAAGCAAATCTTCCAACAGCTGTTTTAGATGTGTGCATTCCTCCGTGTCATGTCCTGCACATCGATGATAGGCACAATGTTTGGACTTATCGGGCCCATCCGGTCCTGGTTGAGGCAAACGGATAAGGTTGCAGGACTGGGCGTATTGCATGGCTTCCGCTGCTGATCGGTTCAATGCCGTGAATTCTCCTGGCCGAGTACGGGGTCGGGAATGATCTTCAATCGACCGATGATCCGCCAGACCGGACGACTTCCGGGATGATGTCCCGACCTCTTGCGACCTCTTGACGGCATTTGCCTCACTAGCGTTGGCATAATCGATCACTCTACGGAGGGCTTCTTCATAAGTGGTTGGAGGGTGGAATATAAAATCTTGATAGAGATAGCCGGCCCGGAGGGAGATGTGAAACATGTGAATGGCCGTCAGATCGTCCATCGACTCAACCTCCCCGACCGCCGCCTTCCACTTCACTAGAAATTCCGTCAAGCTTTTCCCCTCCAACTGCTTGGCCTTCTCGAGATACATGTAGGGCTTCCGAATAACTTTGGAAGTTACAAACTTCCGCATGAACTTGGCCTCCAAACTGGCAAAATCAGAAATAGAGCCCGGTTGTAACGTTCTGAACCATTCCGCCGCTCGACCGGTGAGCGTGGAGTAGAAAGCCCTACACATCACGGCGTCAGACACGCCCATCATCATCATATTTCCATAGTAGGTGTTGACATGAACTTCCGGGTCTGTTCGCCCATCATATTCCTTGTTGCCGGGGATGCGCAAACCGAGCGGGTAAGGCTGGGCCATAATCTCCGCCGTGAAAGGTGTCCTCAATAGAGAGGCTGAATGATCTGTGGGAGGCCTCATAGCGTGCTCGGTCTGCCAGCGAGTAAATTCTACCCGGAGTTCATTCAGCAGTCCTCGGGTCTCGTCTTGTACGGCCGTTTGGGTTGGTTCCCGGGCCCGTCGTCATCGATGAGATTTAGACCCACTATGCCCGGACGATCCCTCCTGGCTTGCCGCTCGCATGGGCGAATCAACCGAGCGTCTGTTTGGATCCTGCGGTCCCAATCTTTGCCGTATTGCGGGTCAGAGTCGCTCGAATGCCATCGCCCGGTTGGCTTCCATCTCAGGGTCTTCAGCTACCTGAGCGTGCATTTCCGGCTAAACATGCTGAGCCTGCCGTGGTTCCTACATGGCCTCGGCACCCTATGACCCCAACCTCGAACGAGCCGAGCGCCTAGCCGGGGGAGCGGGCGGAAACTCCGGTTCGGTCGACATGGTAGGGTAAATCGGAAGAGCGGAAGCTGGAGCCATGTACGCAGGCATATATTGTGGATATCCGGTGGTGGATAATACATTGGCGTTCCAGGCCAACACCCATACTGTGGAGGAGGGATCGGGTATGGATATTGATCGGGGAACGGATACTGTGGTCCGGGCGACGGGTATACCAGTTGAATGTAATTGACCAGGTTCTGGGCCGCCGAATGAGGTGGTCATAAATTGAGGTTCAGATCCACGGTCTAACCCTGATACTGTGTACGCTGATGGTCGGATGAACTTGCTGCATCCGCTTGGTCATCCTCGAGTGCTTGGTACATAAATGGATACATGGTGTTGATCGGGATCCGGACGCGTCTACAATAGCTTTCTTGTCTCGGTTCCCCACGGACGGCGCCAAAATGATAGTACTAATTCCACGTGTTAAGCGGTCAAGGTACTTAAATAAGATCGAATAATAACAAGTAAAAGCCTTTATTGATCAAGAAGGACCTAATACAATCTAAGTGATTACCCGAGGGCCAACTGACTGCGGTCGGGCAGCTCTGTAGATAATCTATCGATCGTTCAAAAGTCCCCCTCACTGTAGCCGCCGTGGGTACTTATAGCCGCTAGGCCGGAGACACAGCTCCGGCCGGCCAGCATGTAACCCACGTAGCGTCCACGCGTCACCATCCCACGAGCCCTCTCTGTCAACGTGTAGTATTGCCACGTGCCTCTTCTCGAGATTCTTGACAAGGGTGACTAATCGGGTGACAAAGGTGATCGATCGGGAAGTCTACTGGTCGGGTCCGACCGTCTTCTTTAAGAATATCCGACCTGTAAAAACTGCACAAATAACAGGAGAAACCGAGTCGTGTCGGTCGGGATATATCCTCCCAAACCTGCAAATGTTTTAGCAACTAATTCAATGTCCAGAATTAGCCGAACTGTTCTGCTATGGTACGAAAATGCTGAATACCAAGCTAGAGAGGTTTTTCAAAAGCTAACATGCATGCATGATTGTGGATATATTGGCAGCTTGTCTTATCAATTTGCCATATATGATAGCCACCAAGTGCAAATGCAATGCCATTGAGGATAAGGCGAAAAGTGTTCGTGTTGCAGCTATTATTCTTGCAGAAACTGAAGATATTTTGAAGCATTTCGAGAAGGAAAAACTTTCAAGTCTTGCTCCCAATAAACCATTGTACATTGACGAGTGGCGCCGGTGGAGGGAGAGACAAGCTTCAATAGTTTCAACTTCTACAACAATTAATGAAACACCCTCCACTGTTGAGTACATTGAGGGTGTAGTCACTGTTGCAAAAATCACGCCTAGGCGTCGATTAATCGGAACCTAGGCGCTAGGCCGTCGGCCTCCTAGGCACCCTAGGCACTCTAGGCGCCCGCCTAGGCGTTCTAGGCACCCGCTTGGGCGCTCTAAACGCCCTAGGCGGTCCCAGGTGCCTAGCGATTTTTTCAACATTAGGTGTAGTTGTTCAAATTCAGCCTTGATTTGTATATATATAATGCTAATGTGTGCTTTCAAACTTAGATGCTACTTTCAAATGTAGAATTGCTTTGTATGTGTGTTTCTATTACGTAACTTTTATTGGGTTGAAAGCAGTATGTCAACCTAGGAAACAACAATGTCGTGCGTATGTATGGCACTTTTGATGTGGCTGGTTTCAAAGGAGCAAGTTTAACAAAAGAAGGATTTTGTGTCGTGTTAGTAACACTACCTTAAAAACATTTACGACCAGGGCATCGCATGTTCTCGACAGGCAACACAGAAATATGCAAAGCTCAGGCTATGGAGTATCGAAGGTGCAGTGTTTGGTTTATGGTTTCTACTCCTTGAGTCGTAGGGGGGGGGGGGGGGGGGAGCGGTATATATACTGCAAATATAACCGCCCACCCCCACCAGCCGTTTGAATAGGATAAAATAGTGGATGAGAGGACTAACTCTAAGCACACACGCACAAAGCTATCATGTGGACAAGGTGTTGAATTGGTCCACAAAAAAAGCTATCATCTGGACAAGGTGCTGAATTGGTCCACAAAAATAGGGTAGAAAAAGTATTTTCGGAAGCAAAACGTTAACGCCGAGCCGGGCGGCGAGCGTGATTTTACCTTGTTCTCTCTTCATAATAGTTCAAACCTTCTCAAAAGGGTTGGGGTTTATAAGGGGGAAAACAAAGGGTTAAATAACCAATATGGGACAACTTAAAAAACAACTCAATAGACGCTTCTTCTTTTAAATGCTCCCAACAATCTCCCATACATTGGATATATTGTCACCTGAGCAAGCTCAAGAGCTAATTTTCATGCCAGTGTATAATACTTGAACTGTCATATAGTGATTTAAGTAATTTTCTACACAAGAGTGAATTAAATCTTGAACTCATCCGTTAGTTAAATTTTGAACTTAAAATGCACTAATTAGCTCTTGTGGTCACAGATTCTGTGTAGTCACACTCTTGACCTCGAATCACTTCCCTGTTTTGTCTACCTTAGTGTAGACCGGTAACTCTGTCAAATCTACCTCATTGTAGATCACCCATCTTAGGCTACAAAGTAATCACTTCCCTGTTTCCGTGACCTCGTTTGACCACTTATGTAGTCTTCATCACGAATTACTT